AATAAACAAAACAAAAAATGCCGAGATTTTTTACGTTTTTGGTGAATCAATGTTTCCAAGGATTTTCTCTTTGAGATTTAGCGAGCAGAGCGAGCCATTGTAGACTTAAAAATAATTTAAATTTAAAAAAAAATTGCTTGTCTATTGCCGCCATATTGTTTTCTTCTGCCAGGTTGGATTGTCAATGTTATTATTGCAACAAGTCTCTATTCCTATTATTCCGCCACGGTGTAATGGTAGAATAGGAATAGGGTTTTTTTTAAGGAACTGTCTAGAGTCCCGAACGCGGGATCGCTAGAAAAACGGAAAATCCCGAAAAGGCGTGGCTAAATAATGGCGTTCGGGACTTTCCAAAAATAATTCTAGTCCCGACTTCGGGACCAAGGTAACGAAAGTAAACTCCCGAATTCGTAATAATTCTTTATGTATTATTTGTTTATCCTATACACCTAGGTTAGATTAGCCAACTGTTGTGTTTTGGGCAGTTTTGGCTGAAAATTTGTTCTTAGGTATCCTTTATTATGAGGTTATAATACAAATGACACCTTTGGTTCATGTAAAGAATTACAAGATGCTATTGATTTATATGAGAAAGAAAATAGGGTGCAATTTTGGAAACGGGATGCAAAAACTATCACATCCGCGAAGCATCATGCCGCTAATTTATACAAGACGGTTAAAGATAAACCTGATATAAGATGAAAATATGAAAGAATCCCTAATCATGAACAAGTTGTTGTTGATACCCGAGTTGATACCCCTATCGAGACATGAGATTCAGGACCATTATGAATAAGAACAGTAGTTTGAAAATTCTGAAATAATCCCTAATCATGAACAAGTTATTGTTGATATACCCCTATATCGAGACTTATGAGATCCACATGGACTATTATGAACAAGATCAGCAATTTCCAAAAAATATATTTTTATCAGTACCTATTTAGGTGTTAATTTATCGTAATTGGTATACATATTATTATATTTGCAATTTAATGAAAACAAATTCCAGAACCCTATAGAAAGTCGAGGCAGACCTAGAGGCAAGAATTTAGCGGCGATAGATCTGCCAGCTAAAAAGAAAAGATGTACAAAATGAGAGATGTTTTAACCCTTTTCACGTGGCTCCGGTTTAACAAACCGCAACATACCGCTCAAATTCGAGTGGTAGGTATCCATCACGTCACTTTGTAACCAGGTTAGAAAACGGTATGTTATTTCTCTAACCGTTTTGTAACCCGGTTAGTAAAACCGGAACCACGTGAAAAGAACTTTTGTGTCCATATTGTTTACTTAGTAGAAATACACGATACCCTTTTGTTTTTTGCTACTTCCTTGTTTTTCTATGATTTGTCTGATAAAATTATAAGTCAGGACTAGTCGTGAGTTTACTTCTGTTACAAAAGTCCCGAAGTCGGGATTCGAATAATTTTTGGAAAGTCCGGAACGCCGTTATTAAGCCACGCCTCTTCGGGATTTTGCTTTTTTCTAGCGATCCCGCGTTCGGGACTTTAGACAGTTCCTTCTTTTAAATAAAATTGTGAATATGCGCTTACTAAGGCAAAAAACGTCAATATCCGCACCTAAATTGATACAAAACCAACTCTATAAAGGATATATTAACTAATTTTTAAAGAAAATTTGTTAATTTTAGTTGCACTAAAGCGTTTCACGCCCGAAGCCCTAATACGCGGTTTAGTTCGAGTTAGACTAGAAAACTTTGAAGCAATGGAGACATATGTCAATGAAACTATGTCACTTGCTTAAAAATTAAGTGACATAGGTCAGCCAGTGGATAATGAGTTTCTATTATCCGTTCACAATCCGATGTCCAGTGGTACCGGTAAAATGTATCACCTTTCAATGCTATTTGATAGTGAAAGGTGATAAATGTACCTGCACCTGTGAACAGGATAGGAGTAATTTTGTTGAGTGGACTAACCGCAGACTATGCAGTAATCACAAGTGACTTCATCAAGACTAAACTTCTCCAAGATGACAAATATAGAAAAGAAAAGTCTGAGACAGCATTGCATTCCAAGTATAAAAAGCAATTTAATAAGAAAAATTTAAAATGCTTTAACTGTGGGCTGTTTGATTACTTTAAGAGTCAGTGTACCAAAGAAAGTGATAGCACTCGAGATGAAAACAAACATGAGAAGAATAAGTCTAATCCTAAGAACACCAATAGAAAAAATAAGCGAGAAAAAGCACTCAGGTGTCTTAGGTGGATTAGTAAATACATTCAGTTGGTGGTATGTGGACTCGGGGGCAAATTCGCACATGTCATATAATGCAGATTGAGATTTTGTTAGCAAATAACGAAAAACTGAGTAGTGTTGGTGTTAGGAATACAACAGTTTCCTCGAAATATGGTTCCAAGGTGATTTCTAACATTATGTGTGTTCCAGATTTAAAGGCCAATTTGCTATCAGTGAGTAAAATGGTGGAAAAAGGTTATGCGGTAACATTTGACAGCAACGGTTGCCAGATATATGACAGTGAAGATTTCCAAGTTGAAGGAAATATTGTAGTGACTGCATCCAATAAAAATAGGGTCTGTCAGCTAGATTTAGTCAATGAATGCACATATTTGACTAAAACTGCAAGTATGGAGGAATTATGGCACCGAAGACTAGGACACTTGAACAGAATAAGTATGTCTTTGCTCAAACGTGGTTTGGCTACTAGTATTGATGACTACAAGGATGAAAAAGGTGATCAATGTACCATTTGTCTTAGAGGGAAGCAAAATCGTCAGCCTTTTAAAAAGACAGGTGGTAGGCATGCCAAAGATTTACTTGAGCTGGTCCATACTGATTTATGTGGCCCAATACCCAGTTTCATCATGGAGTGGAGCTAGATATATATTCACTTTAATTGATAATTACTCCAGGAAGATTTTTGTCTATTTTTTAAAGTCAAAAAGTGAAGTTCTTTCTGTTTTCAAAGATTTCCATGTATTGGTAGAAAATTAAAGTGGAAGAAAGTTAAAGAAACTTAGAAGTGAAAATGGCACTGAGTACCTATGTCAATAGTTCAAATTATTTGAAATCAAAAAGTATAGAGCACCAATTGACTGTAAGATATACGCCTGAGCAAAATGGTGTTGCAGAAAGGACCAACCGAACAATTGTTGAGAAAGCAAGGTGTCTTATCCAAGAAGCTAAATTAGAAGAAAAAATGTGGGCAGAAGCTGCGAATACAGCAGTTTATCTGAAAAATCGCTCTCCTCACAAAAGTGTTCAAGCTTCAACTCCACAAGAAAAATGGACAAGTGAGAAAGTCGATTTAAAACATTTGAGAGTTTTTGGCTGTATTGTGCATGCGCATATTCGTGATCATTTGAAAAAGAAATTTGGTTCTAAGAGCAAACAATATATCTTTGTTGGCTACTGTGAACAAACTAAAGGATATAGACTACTTATTTGATGTTGAAAAACCAGGTCATATTGTAAAATCTAGAAATGTGGTATTTTTTGAAAATACTTATAAAGAAAACAATAGAGTACCCTCTGATATTCAGTTGAGTCTGAACTGGAAACTGATCAATGATGTTATCGCTGATGATCAAGCTGAAATTGATGATGCAAGAAATGGTAGTAGCAGTTGGTTCATCTGAGGATTCGATGAACCAGAGAATCAAGAACAAATGCAACAAGAGTTGAGACGTACTCAAAGATCTAGAGGAATTAAATCATTCCCAGATCATATACTCTATTATGCATCGGAAGAAATAAGCGAGCCTTGTCCAGTGCAAGAAGCCTTAACTAGTGAATATGGTAATGAGTGGAAGCATGCTATGGATGAATAAATGCAATCAATGAAAGAAAATGATGCATGGACACTAGTGGACATTCATAAAGACAGAAAAATTGTACAGTGCAAGTGGGTTTATTTAAAAAATGGTGTGAATGGCAGAAAAAGATTTAAAGCTCGTCTTGTAGCCAAGGGTTTTACTCAAAAATATGGTGAGGACTATACAGAAACATTTTCTCCAGTGGTAAGAAATTCAACCATTCGTTTATTATTTGCATTGTCTGTGAATTTGGATTTAGAAATAGATCACATTGATGTCACTACAGCCTTTTCAAATAGTGACTTGAATGAGGAGATTTTCATGTCTGAGCCAGAAGGATATGTTACTAATAAAAATAAAGTTTGTTTATTGAATAGAGCTATTTATGGTCTAAAACAAAGTTCCAGAATATGGAACAAGAAAGTTGAACAAATCCTGGTTGGTTTAGGATATAAAAAGTCTCAATATGAAAGTTGTGTTATACATTAAGAAATTCTCAAATTCCTTAATTAATAGTAGTATTATATGTTGATGATTTTGTAATTTTTTCGAATAATGATATAGAAAAAGATAATTTAAAGAACGTTTTGCCTAAAAATTTTAAAATCAAAGATTTGGGTCGGATCAAAAGTTGTCTGGGTTTGAATATAAAATATGACAAGTTGAATCATGGAATTAGAATTAATCAAAAGGAATATATTTTGAAATTGTTAGACAAATTTGGAATGGCCGAGGCAAAATCGGTAATAACTCCTATGGAAGCTAACTTAAAATTGGAAAAAAGGCTTAACCCACCGGATGAAAATATTCCATAACAATGACTGGGACATTAATGTTTCTTGCAGTAAATTCACGTCCTGATATAGTTTTTGCAGTAAATTATTTAAGTCAGTACACTATACAAGTGTTCATTTTCATCATGCAAAAAGGGTCTTACGTTATCTAAAAGGGACTCTTGATAGGCATTTGTTTTTTAGGAAAGATAATGAAAATATTTGTGAATATTGTGACGCAGATTGAGGAAATGACATTAATGATGGAAAATCATACAGTGGATATGTTTTTAAGTTGGCTGGAGGGGCAATTTCATAGTTTGATGTCTCAAAATTCTTCCTAATTACCAATAGGACAAATAATAAAATACGCATTGATTCATTAATCAAAAAATCAAACCAGTAAAGAATAGAATCAAATTACTTACTTATCTACATCACTAAATGGTTGATCACAAACACAGCATCTACTTTGACTTTCATCGTCTTCAATATCTTCGCGCTCGTCTAACGTTCCGCTATGTTGAGAAGCTACAACAAAAGTATACGATTAATTTATCTGTTGTTTGTCCTATTATTTATTTACATTTGTCGCAAAACTTATGTTTATAAAGCTAGTTTGAAGCATGATTAAGCATAAAATCAAATAATCGGATACTTGACTCATCATTCAGAATTATTATGATTCTATTATACAGGGTGTGACACAATTAGAGTAACAAATTTGTCTACTAAAAAAAGTCATCTGATGCGTCTGAGATCCCTTGTACTTGTATATATTGTTTGATTTGAAAAATTGAAACAAGAAGAATCTGTCCAAACTGCTAACAAGGGTAATTGCAACAATATTATGTCAAGTTGTGGCAATAATTATTGAACACCCTGTATATATAAATTCTAATCGGGTGCTTGTATGATTATAATTTGTATCTACTTTACAATTATGTAACATTTTGAATAAATAATTATTATAAAATGTTTGCTTGTGTATAAAACATATCAATATAAGTACTACATTGAGAACAATCAGCTACTCATCTAAGTAAATGGGACCAAAAAGATTAAAAATAATTTATTTTTAAAATATTTATTTAAAGATAATTATTAATGAGGAACGACAATAAGTCTTTGGACCTATAGTGACAAAAAAATAAATAAAACATACCGCCAAATTCAATCACAACAGAATATCCACAGGTTGTACCACTCTATCGGACCCACCTTTGCTCTAACTTTTCACCCCCAAATGAATCGGTAAAACACTGAAAAACGCGATATCACCTTGCGTTTTCACCCCATCACATGACCCCCACCCTTTAAACCCCACAGGGAGAGAGCAGTCAGACGATAATATTATTTTTACTGGGTTTTGGATAATTAACTTCACTTATGTGGGGTAGTAGAGCTAGTATTTAGAGTGGGAGGGATTGATGTATTATGTATTTGATTTTTTTTTTTCATATTTGTTTTGAATTTACTATTTCTAATATTTCGAAGACTTTGATTTGCGTTTTCATCAAACAAAATAGGTAGGTACCTATAGTACTTTATAAGTTATAGGTATTTTGATTTTTTGTATACTGCCTGGACTTTTCTGCAGTTCCACTTGATAAACATATTATAGTTTATATAACATAACAAGTAAATTCTGAAACACAAACCTGGAATTTAATTACGATTGCGGTTTGGTAAAAAAAAAAATCATTTTGTTACGCGAACCGAACGAAATTATTCATCCAGTGTCAAATAAGGGTCGGTATGGAAGTTGAATTATTAAAATAAGGGATGTGGAGGGCGAGTTTCCGGTCAAGTGGCCGCCAGGTTAAAAAAGTGGACGTTTTAGATCCTGATTGATAACTGCCCGGAGTCATGATTTTTTCAACGATGCGTGGAGAATAAAACGACCAACGAATAATAACCAAAAATAAAATATACAAAATAATTTATAAAGGTTGATTTACAATAAATAACAACCTAAATTAGTACGAAAATGATCAATGATTTTGAAATTTTCCAATTTCTTCCTTCTTTAACCAAATTTTTGAATTCTCGATCTGAGAAAATCGACACTCTGCTAGATTGCATCTACTGAAAAGTTGAAAGTGATTTAACCAGGGCAAAAGGTAAACTATAGAAATTTAATTCCCATAGGAGAAATTCCTATATGAATATTACTATCCCTTATCTTTATCCAGATGCTACGTTTATTTGGCAGTTGTAATTCCCACGCAAAGAAGCGAATCCGAAACGTTGAAATTTCAATATGGTGCCTTACTTGATGGTACGCTATGGGTCGTACCGTATGAAAACAGGTGCGCTTAAAACACCATGAAATTTCGATGGTCAGAAGGTGAGACGGTTATTGAATTCGTTCAATTATGTGGGTGTTGATGATGTTATGAAGACATTTTTTAATTTTGGTTTAGTGAGAATATTTGGGGTATTATAAATTCTATGTAGCTAGGTAAACCAGAAAATTTATAAATGAAGGAAAACAATGTCGGTTTATATATTATTTGATAGAATTTCAGTTTGGGTTGGATTATTTCATTATTATTTAACTGTTTTTTCATTTATTTTGTTTTGAGATCATTACTCGAATGATACTATTTCCTAGATGTGAAGGTTGGATTTCTGCTAACACTAGCTAACTTTTTGAGGTTCGGTTTATTCATCTTCAGATATACTTACTGGTAACTATCTTCAACATATATTTACCGTGTGGCGGATAACTGGTGGACCAATGGGATTACAGATTGCGTTTACCTGAGAGTTTATTAGAAGGTGAATAAACCAGCCCTAAATTGTGTGTTGACAATAATACATTGAATTGTAAAGCAAAATTTGCTACTTGCTAAAATTGATAGACATTGAAATACATAGAAGTGAATGACTATAAGAATATGATAAACTTATTTAAGTGTAGCTTATCTCTACCAACTACTTGAATTTTTCTAAAATTAAATGACGTGAAGTACCTACTTGAATCAATTTAAGTAAGTAGGTGCAAATGACAAGCAAAATTACTTATTGGCTCAGCTTCCTTTGACTCCTGAGAAATTTGGACTATATATTTCTAGAATAGATAAGTCAATTTTTTAGGGAATGTGTACAAAAGAATAATCTGAGCCAAGAAACATATTATTAGCTATTGAAGATTCGTGAAGGATTTCAAAAGAATTGCAGAATTAGAGCTGACTTTTCTTGGTTTCACAAACGAGGAGAAACCGAATATTGTAATGATAATTTCAAAGAAGAGCCAGAATGTTTTACTCACACGAAACTAATTCAAGAAAATTGAAGTCATGAGCTTGACAAAATTCACATATTTGTGACCCGAAATGAGAAAAATAAAACAATCAATCATTTTAATCCCAGCACGTGCCCAAAGCGAACTACCCAAAAACTAACCCCATCTTTATCGCAATAATTATCTGCGTCATTATGACGCAAATACACCCAAGTAAAATCCGTGACTTTTCGCATCTGTCCCGTGTATAAATGCATTTATTATTATTCCTTTTCACTCCCCTGCCTCTGGAAAAAAAAGGATTCGGAGCCGATGGCGCGGAGGTCCAAAACTATAATAAATAATGATTCTGACGTGTGACATCTCTATTTAATCCGTTGAAAGGGTGAGATCACCGTATCACAATGGGAAACGGTGATAATCCGGTATGACTGGGACGGTCACGTGACCTGGCTATTATGTACCGCACGAGCGAATTGTTTTTAACGTGAACAGACTTTTCAAGAAATGAATTACTTATACTTATACTTATAAAAAGAAATGTTGTTAAAAAAAGAAAAAGCAACAGGATTACAAACTCGAAATTGTAGAACAACAAAATTACAACTTTGAAACTTTACTGGCAACAGAGTTGCAAGCATGAAATTTGCTCCCATCTACAAGATAGATAACAAGCATGAAATTTTCCACCAACATTATTAAAGCATTATTTGCTTACATGCTAGATCAGGGATCTACAACCTTTAACAAGCTAAAAAATAATTCATATTTGGATACAAGCGAACTCTATTTTGAGCCCTTTGATTCTAGTGTAAACCTGCGTTTAGTTTGAAGTCTTCAATCCATTTCACATTCCCAGTGCTTGCAATAAGCATCGAAGCAATAGTTTTTCTAAGGATAGTTGCACTCTGCTAGTTTCCAAAGTGAAACTGCATGTGAAGTCAGTGATCCAATATATTATGATAAGTGAAAGATCATCAAGAACCAACCACATGCCAGTGATTAGCAGTAGCAGATCTTGCAAAAAATCCAGGGTCTTCAGCAAGAAGCAAAACAATCCCTTGATCAGGGATTTTCATAACCCAATCCCGTCGGAATCAAGACACTCACTCAGGGAACCAAATCTGAGGTAGTCAAGAATCATATCTTACTCAAAAATCCGACATGCAGGATCACAACAAACTCTAAACAGGACCTGCCTTTTATTTTTATATCACCATATGATATAATCTGCATTGTATTCCTTCTGAGTTTCTTGCCAGGTGTTCTGAAACCCAATTTCAGATAAGTGACTCGATGCTACGCCCTCCAACCTGGTCCTCGCTTTTATACAAGGTATTCTCATTATGTGGTTAACAATTCAGGAAAATATCATCAAAATGTACGAAAGCAGAGAACCATTTTGTTCTATAAGCCAACCCCGCCGGGATCAAGACACCATCATCCAAGGAACCGAGTCTGAGGTAGTCATAAATCACCTCCCACTCAAAAATCCGAAATGCAGGATTACCACAAACTCTAAACAGGACCTGCCTTTTATACTACCATATGAAATGGTCAGCATTGTATTCCTTCTGAATTTCCTGCAAAGTGTTCTGAAACTCTATTTCAGACGAGTGACTCTAGATGTTACGTTCTCCAACCTGGTTCTCGCTTTTATACAAGGTATTCTCATTATGTGGTTATTAATTCAGGAAAATATCATCGAAATGTATGAAAACAGAGAACCATTTTGCTCTATAAGCCAACCCCGCCGGGATCAAGACACCATCTTCCAGAGAACCAAATCTGAGGTAGCCACGAATCACCTCCCACTCAAAAATCCGACATGCAGGATCACCACAAACTCTAAACAGGACCTGCCTTTTATACTACCATATGATATGGTCTGCATTGTATTCCTTCTCAGTTTCTTGCAAAGTGTTCTGAAACTCTATTTCAGACGGGTGACTCTAGATGTTACGTCCTCCAACCTGGTTCTTGCTTTTATACAAGGTATTCCCATTATGTGGTTAATAATTCAGGAAAATATCATCGAAATGTATGAAAACAGAGAACCATTTTGTTCTATAAGTCCACCCCGCCGGGATCAAGACACCATCATCCAGGGAACCAAATCTGAGGTAGCCACGAATCACCTCTCACTCAAAAATCCGACATGCAGGATCACCACAAACTCTAAACAGGACCTGCTTTTTATACTACCATATGGTCTGCATTGTATTCCTTCTCAGATTGTTGCAAGGTGTTCTGAACCTGAATTTTAGATGAGTGACTCTAG